ATTTTATGTACATGTAAATACAGTACATGTAATTATGTGTGTATAGTGTGTACTATAAAGATAAAGTAATGCATGTACATGTAAATGCAGATTGTATTTGCTTTTCTTCCTCAGACTGGTGTTGAAGAAGCTATCTCTCGTGAAGAAGAAGAGTTGAGAGTAGAAAGTGCAAGTGAGTATATTATACCAATTTAATAATAATTGGCTCATTATTATTATTATTATTATTATTTTAGAGTTAATTAGTGAATTATTATCCCAATCAATGGAAAAGACAAATAACAACTGATATAATAATTATTACAATACATGTATACTGCTATAGTTATCAATAATAATTTTATGAAAGTAGATGTTTCTATTGCCTGAATTTCCAATGTACATATAGAGCTCAGTTATCATTTCTTAAGCATAGTTTTGCAGTAAAATCTACACAAATCTGGCCAAATTTTAATTCACATCATGTGATAGTGGCTATCACAACTTAATAACCATGATTTCAACTTAAACCATGAATTCACTTGTCACAATTATCATGTGATGTTGGGATAACACAACAACTCAGCCTTCATCAGTTCATCTTTATCATTCAATTTTCATTTTTTGGTTCAAGACTGGTACAATACAGCTCTTCTGATCATATTTAAAATACAGTGAGTTCTCTAAAATTATAATTATTATGATACATGTACCCTTTATACACTGTAGGTGATTGAGAAAATGATTGAGCTTTCTCAATGGAGAGCATGTATTGGGTTGTGGAACTGCTGCTGTTCTGGAATGAAACTAAAGTTATGCCAAGATGGAAAGAAAATAAAGCAATCTAGACGTATCTCAGATGTACATGTAGACAATGGATTCCGGCTATTGAAACTGACATTTTTTGTCAATTTTCTAACTGTCACCCTCAGTTCTATTTTTATTACAATAGGTAATGAGGTAGCTTACTGTATATGTACATGTACATTATATTAGGTTCTATTACATTGTATTTCTCTGAAGTGCATGTACATCTTGTAGTAAAATCAGTGTATCTATTGTTGTGAAATTGACTTTGCTCTAAATTTTAATTTAGGACTCAAAATATTTTTCTGTTCTCTTCTCCTTCTTTTATCTGGAGATGTTGAGCTCAATCCTGGTCCAGTAATTGATGAACAGCCTGATATTTCTGTGTTGCTTGATCTACTGGAGCCACTTGAAAACTGGCAGTCGTTTGGTTGTCAGTTGCCTGGAGTAACACAACAAATTATTGACATGATCCAACAGCCTAAAAAGAGCCCAAGGCAACAAAAGAAAATTCTTTTTGAAAAATGGTTTGAAGAGAATCCTAAGGCAACATGGAAGGATGTCCTTACTGCTTTAGAAGGAAGACAAGAACCTAAATTGATAAAAGACATTGAAGATTACCTTAAAAATATAAGTAAGTTTAATTATAACTGTAGTATGCATAATACATGTATGTGTACTGTAATTGTGTGTATACATGTATGTACATGTAGGTTCCAAGGAAATATTGCGTTCATATTCAGACAAACTAACTGCTGCTATTGCTAACAGCCTTTACACAGTGACTAATGCACTGTTTGCTAAGGAACTAATATCGTTGGACATTAAATCTCACATATCAACAAAAAATGATTCAGATTATGAAAAGGCCAGCTACTTAGTGACTACATTACTGAGACAAATGGAAGCATCTTTACATCCACAAAAGGATTTGATCAGCCTTTGTCATATATTAATAGAACAAAAACATCAAGCACTTACAGATATTGCTACTTCTATATTGGATCAATTAGGTAAAATACACACAATATACATGTACATATATTTATTGCTATTATACTTGTATGTAATACATACATGTAGGTCAGTCGTATGACAAAGTCATTACTTTAAATCCACCTGAAGATATT